AGGCAGCCAGTAGAAAAGCATGGAGGGAGGAAAAGGATCATTGTGTATGAGGAGTGACAGGTAGAACAGGATGGCTGGATTGTGAAGGATGTGGAATGGCATAATGTGTGAAAAAGACTGGAAAAGGGGGCAGCTAGGTGGTGCAGTGGATAGAGCACCAGCCCTGGATTCAGGAGGACCTGAGTTCAAATCCGGCCTCAGACCAAACACTTGACACTTACTAGCTGGGTCATCTTGGGCAAGTCACTTAACCCCAATTGCCTTTTAAAAAAAAAAAAAGACTGGAAAAGGAGAAAAAGGCCAAGTCATAAGGAGTTTTAAATGCTCAAAGTAGTTTAAAACTTAATTTTATTGGCAACAGGGAGTTTTCTCACCTTAAAGAATAAGGATTTTTTCACCTGCTTTTCTGTAGGTGGAAAAATCACCTGTTTAACATTTTAGACGGTACCTTCAGCATTGGTTCTTTGAACCCATGTACAGTCACATCAAGGTTCACAGCCCAAGTGATGGGTCACACTGCCAATGCAGGGTCAGTCTCCTGTATTCATACTCATCATTAGAGCTAGCCTACTATAATATATAACATGATATGATATAATATGATTAATATGATATATAATATAATATAACATAACATAACATAACATAACATAATATAATATAATATAATATGATATGATGCCTACTGTGTGCCAGGCACTTTGTAAACATTACCTCATTTGAGCCTCATAACCACCCTGGAAGGTATTACTATTATGCCCCTTTTCAGTTGAGGAAATTGAGGCAAACAAATGAAGTGCCTCCCTCAGGATCACACAATTAGGAAGTGTCTGAGGCTGAATTTGAATTCTGGTCTTCTTGACTACAAGTCTAATGCTCTAGCCACAGCACCACCCAGCTGCCTTACTTAGCCCTTAAGCTACTTACATCATACCCTGTCCACACCCATTCAGCAGAGGACCTTGTCTCATAGAGAAAAAAAATTGAGAGTATCTATTTTGAATTTCTTCTTCTTCCCATTTCTACAGCTCACACGCCCTCAGCATCATCCCTGTCTCTGTCCTCTTTGCTTCAGCTTGAGGTAGGGCTGGCTCTTCTTTGTACTCATGCCCACAGCACCGCCTTTTGGATCTTGCCGCAATCATTCACACCCTCAGTTTGCTTCTCAATCTCCTTATCCATGCCCTCCTCCAGGATGCCTTTGCAGTCATTCCAAGATCTTCATGCCTTTAAAAACAGACAGAACTCCGCTTGACCCCCTTCCCCGTTATCACCATCATCACTGTCATTCCTGCCTCCCACAGTCTGACTCCTACAGAAAGCTGTCTGTGCTTGCTGCTTTCACTTCCTTACCTCCACTCATTCTTAACATTCTTGCAATCTGTCTTGGGTCCCACCTTTTGGCTGATGCCCCTGGACCACTCTCCACCAGATCACCAGTGACTTTTCATAGCCAAATAGGATGGATGTTTTTCAGTCCTTCATCCTTTAACTCTCTGTATGTGGCAACACTGTCCAGCATCCCATGCTCCTGGCTTCTCCCCTGGGTTTTGGTGATACTGCTTCCTCCTACCTCTTTTCCCCCAATGTTAACACCCCTTCTCATTCTCCTTTGAAGGATGTGGTTGATGTCCCACTCCTCTAGAAGGGGAGTAGGATTGTTTTGTCACTTGTATTTGCATTCCCAGTATGTACCCAGTAGGTGGTTAATAAATGCTTTTGAATTGAATGCGCATTTATCCTAAAACTCTCTCCTGAGTCCTTTTTTCCTTTTACATTGGTTTTCTTGGGAATAGCATTAAACTCCTGTGAATTCAGCTCATCTCTATGCCAATGATTCTGAAATGCAAATGCTAATCCTGCATCATCGGACCTCTCCTTGGATGTACCATAGAAACCTCAAGTCCAGTCAGCAAGCATTTATTAAGCACCTTCTGTATGGCAGGCAATGGGATAAGTGTTGGGTAGGAATTGAAAGAAAGGCAGAAAACAATCCCTAGTCTTGGGAGTTCCCATTTTAATGGGGGAGACAACATGTAAACCACTGTGTATAAAGAAGATGTAGATAGGATGAATTGAAGATATTCTCAGAGGGAAGGCACCAAGGACCAGGAAAGCAAGATTTTAGCAGACACTGGAAGGAAGCCAGGAAATCCATTTGTTGGTGGATTTGGGGGGGGAGGGGGTTTGAGGTTAATTTGTTACCGTACACCGAGCCTCTCCCTTTTCCAAACCATCCTCCACATAGATACCAGATGTATTCAAGAAACAGAGATCTGACCATGTCACCTCTTTGCCTAAGAAGAATCAGTAGTGCTCTATTATAAATACAAACTGCTCTGTTTGTCATTTAAAGACCTTTACAATGTTACCCTTAAGCTGTTTTGCCAAAGGGATTCCGTGTTCCAAACATACTTGCCTAACTGATGCTCCCTAGACAGAACATTCCCCCTCCTTTGCTTGGGCTTCAAGCCTGTGATGCTCCCCCTCCCCACCTTTGCTTCTTAGAACCTCTAGCTCTCTTTCAAGCCCAACTCACATTCCAGTTGCTAGAAGAGGCCCTTCCAGATTATCCCAGACCTACCCCCAAACTTCTTTGTATATATTTTTTCTTCACACATCTATGTATGTGTTTTTCCCCACCACTCATCTTCTCCCCTACCCCCCATAGAATGTAAGTTTCTTGAGGGTAGGAACTGTTTTCATTTTGGTTTTTGTGTGCCCAACACTTAGCAGTTTATTAAACACCTAGAGCTTCATAGGCATTTAATAAATAATGGCTACATGAATCTCTCTCTCTCTCTCTTTCTCCCTCTCTCTCTCTCACACACACACACACACACCCCCATCATTATTTTCTCCACACTTTAATGCATCATATTTGGAGGGCTAGAATTTCTTAAAATGAGTCAAAGAAATATATATGTATATGTATATGTGTGTATATATATATATATATATGTATTTATATATTTATATCATCATATAAATATGTATGGATATGTACCGTCATTTTAATATGTTCTAAGAAGTTGTGATACTTGTGAGTTTGTCAGTATGACCAGGTTCTGAGCTGCTAAATCCAATATTACACAAGAAAAATTATTCCTTCTGGCTCATATCAAGAGACGTAGTCATGAGGTTACAGTACAATGATGTGGAATTGAAGATGCTTACACAGAGGTTGGGAATGCAGTGCCCCACATGTCTGCTTTTATCTAAGCTAGTTGCCTCTTAATTAGGCCTTAGAATTTCTTCTTCCTGAGCAGAACTGAAAAAGGCCCAGTATTCTCTCTGTTTCACCAGTAGGATTTCTGTGGAATATTTATTTTCTTTCCCAAACAGTGGTGTGATTATCCACGGTTAGGCAAGAAAATATGTGATGAGTAATAGAAAACGCCCTTGGAAGAAACAGTAAAATAGAGACTCTTTTTCTTAGCAATTTTCTCATTTCAAGGAATTTGGATTTCTTGAATATGGCACATTCATTACTCATCCTACAAAACTGATTTCCTGGAAACCCCAGCCTGCACTAAAGCTGTTTGATTGATTATTAAAATTTTGCAAGAGAGTTGCCTAGTTAGCCCCTACTTTTCAGAGCTTCACCTAGAAGCTCAGCTTTATTCCTTGGTTAGCGGTAGGTAAATTTCGGCAGCCCAATCTCATCCCTTCAGTGCTTTCCTTACGATATCTGAGATGATTTCATGCAGCTCATCTTCAAGATACAAATTCTGAATCCTTGAACATTTGGGGAACTTCCTTCCCCGTCTTGCTTCCTCGTTGGTGACATCACAAGTTAAAGATAAGCAGGATATCTAACCTTTGAGGGCACATTGAGTAAACAACCACGCTTTCCCAATTTGGCTTTAGATAAGGCTGTCAAAGACTGCATCCAAATTTACAACTACATCACATGAGGCAGTAGAATCTCCAGTGAATCATGTAATTTTTCCTGGGTACTTAATAGATTTAATTCTCTACCTATATCACTTTGAGAAAAAATGATCATATTCAAATTATTTGTTAGAGAACGCTAATAAAAATACATAAGCACGATGGTTGGACAATGGAGGGGCACCTAAAACTGATTCCCACTTATTGTAAATTATAGTTATGTTCCCATGTATTGTAGATTATGTTTACTTTCATACGATGGCAAGAGTAGCGTTTACTTGCTTAGGGAATCTAAGTAGTTACTTTCTAAATAATTTACATAGTAAATTTGCATCCCCATAAGGTTGAGAGGTCTTTGCCCCTCTCCCATCTGCAAGAGTAAGTGTTGAAGTTAATTCTTGGCATGTCAGTTGGTCCATTTACAACTTTGGCATTACTCCAGAAATGACTAAACATGGAACTCTGTTAACTATCAAGAAGCAGTGACTAACAAGTTATCAGTCGTCTTTATCTAAAACTGGCCCCCGGGTAGTGCCTAACCAGTACTGAGCTGGAGTTGGGCACTGACATGTCTTTCTTTTCTTCTTGTTGTTAATTGACTAGGAAACTAAAGCCATGATCTCATTGGGTTTGTATTTTTAAAAGATAACAACACATAACGTGTGTCCTGGCAGCACATGCCATGATTTCATGGTTTTGCTACTAAAGTGTTACCCAACAGACCCAAGGGCCCCTATTGGCTAAGAACAGAGAATTGGGCTGAGGGGAGTTTTGACCTCCTGTTGTGTTATAGGATGTATGGGCAGAGTAAAGTTTTGCTGCATTTTGTAGAGTCAGCTTTTTCCCTTGTCTTTAAGCTACCACTGAGTCTCATGAATTCTTAGAAGTCCCCTTGGCTTTCATTAAAGAAGGTTGGGATCTCCCAAAAGGCTCTCTAACCACGTGAGAGATGCATTAATAATAAGACCCAAGTAGAGATTGGTTTATATTTAATGGTTAAAATGAGAAAGTTTATATTTCATATGTATTGTAGCTACCAGTCGAAATAGGAGAAAAGAAATCTTATGTGTGTTGTCTACCATTTTCTTGCTGTCCCCTTTCTATAGGACTTCTGTAACTCTGCTGTGCCCCTTCAGGATGGCTTTGACAACATGATGGTAACACCTGCTGTCATTTCCTTTTTATGTATATATATATATATATATATAACATATATACATACACACACACACACACACACACACACACACACACACACACACACACACACACACACACACACACCCCACTCTATTATGACTCAGTCATTTAAACACCAAAGTGAAGAACAGAAGAATAATCCTTTAACGGTGCCTCTGATAGAATTGAACGCACAGTTATTTGTTTGAAATCAACCTCAAAGTATATAAAACACACGTATGCCTCCATGCACTGTAAACTGTATTCTAGTAGGCCTAGATTACTGCTTAGGGGTAACTTTAATCACATTGGGTTTCTCATTGCCAATCAACATAATACTGACAAATATGTAATTTTCATGCCTGCGCTTTGTAGCATGGTCTCTTCTGTGTACCTTCATTCATCCCCCTGATCATTGTCTTCCTCTTTCTGTGACTTTTTTTCTGTCACTAGCAGAGGAATGTGTAGCTTGCTGCTTTATAGACCAAGCGCCAGATACTGAACGATATGTTATAAAAATAGACCCCTTCTATCCCATACCCTGTGTCTCCACTTCCCACATACTAGACAGAATGCATCAGATTTATTTCCTGTCCTATTTAGAGAAGGAATTAAAAAACATTTTTTTTTACCGTAAGACTTGTTGCATGTGTATTTTAAGACCACTACTAATACCTTACTGGAACAGATAACAATGCATGCTTTCATTAAATTACTGGTTTCTGCAGCAGCTCCTCTGCCAGTAACATGAACCCAACCCCTTTCAGCAGAACCAGAGCAATTCTGAAGTGTGAGCATAAATTAACAAATTTCCATGGCTAATTTCATGTCTAGTATATTTCATGTTTTTGTTTTGTTTCGTTTTGGTTTTGTGACAATGAAAAAAAATGTTCTGACTCTAACTGCTTAGCTATGTTTTATGAATGTCTATTGGTTAGATTGTTTGTTATTTTTGACAGTTTTTTTTTCAGCAAAGATAAATTTGAAAAAAAAATTCTCTATATACACCAATTGCTTGTAACTTTTATTTTTGACACTTTAGAATGTGCAGAGTGTAAGTGAGGGTTCCATTTGTTTTTAAATGGGACTTGAAAAATCATTAAATTTACGTATTTGGGACCATCTGATTTCTTGCCTTACAACATAATAGTTCAAGTCTTTTTAATAAGGTCATTGGTGGGGGCAGGGAGGATGAAAAAATCTTCCCTAATTCAAGAGGATGGTGATGTCTTGTGAATTTCATTATATACCATTTCCCTACCACATTTTCAAGTTGTCAGATGTTTTAGTTCAATGGGCAAATTTTGTTATTGCTTTAAAGTGAACCCAAATTAAGTTTGAACTTATGCTTCTAATAGATCGTTTCCAGTAGTCTTAATGATCTTTGAAATTTTCCAGTGCTGTTAGGAACATAACAGAATATATGCTCAGCAAATCGATATTGTCATTTCCATGTTATTTCAGTATTGTAGTCAAGGAAGGCCTTGCAAAATTCCAGTGGCAGTCCTTCGGTTACATTACCTGGTATTTTTATTTTGGTGTGCCAATAAAGTGTATGGCTCCGTGTCCCCGAAACGGATGTTGTCATTAACTTATTCCAAAGTCAGATGAGCTTACAGAGTAAGACTGTTTGAAACTCCCTCATAATTTAAAGATTTTCTCAGTAATAACAGCAGCTAGCATTTACGAGGTGCCTACTGTGTGCCAGGCACTGTGCTAACACTTTTCCATGTATTATTCCCACTTTACAGAAAAAGAAACTGGGCTGAGAAAGATTTTTGACTTGCCCAGAGCCACACTAATAAGTGTCTGAGGCAATATTTGAACTCAGGTCTTCCCAACTCCAGGACCTAATCCACTGTGCCACCTACCTGTCTCTAGGAGCTAATTTGTACTCGCAACTAGAACCTAAAGAGATAGTTGCCCTGATAATAAATTTTGATAAATTTTATATTATATATCTTTATATATATATATATATAATATATTTTGATTGATAATATATTATCAATATATATTGATAAATAATAAAATTTGATTCTTTGTGGTGTAGTACAAAAAACTCTTAGATTGCTTATTGGGGGGTCTGGATTTGAATCTCAGCTTTGCTCTTTGCACTATCTGAGGGAATTTGGCCTAGTCATTTATCTTCTCTGGGCCTCAGTTTCCTCATCTGTTAAATGAGAGAACTGAAATAAATGTCTTTAGTTCTAAATCCTTTGACACTTTACTTGTATAAATCAATGTCTACCCACTAACTGATAAAATTTTGCCTATTGGGTTTCCCCAGGAGCCTTTTCTTTCCTTTTATTTAAAGTGTGTATGTGTTTTATGAACAGATGAATAGAATCCATGGTTTTGAGGCTACAGGTGCTGGGATATGCTTATACAAAAGCAAATCAGTGAAGAAAGATTTAAAACTTGTCAATAGTGACTGACTCAATGAGATCAGGCACCACTTATTCTTCCAAAATATTGAATTTCAGTGTAATGCCTGTGGTCGGTTTATTTTATTGAACGGCAGTGTCTCTTTTAGCAAGTTCACTTCATGGTTTGCTCACTTGACTGAAGGAGCTATTTCTGATGGGCGAACAGCAGGATACCTCATATTCTGAAGAGCAAATCTGAACATTTGTTAGGATTTATCATCATCAGATGTATTGTTTGTGAAATATCTAATTCTACTAAGTCAAAATTTTTCCAAACTTAAAAGGTAAGAAGTAAAATGTAAGAGTTAAGAAATATGTTTGAGATCATAAAAATAATAATGATCATGCACTGAAGTCAGAAGTGGTTCTGACAAATGTGAAAATAAAAATGTCAGTGTTATCATTTAGTTGAAAGAGCATTAGCTGAGAGTCAAGAGCTCTGGGTCCCACTGGCTGAGTCAGGTCCTAGATCTGCTAATACCTGGTTCTTTGACCATACAGAAGTCTCTTTACTCCTGTGAAACTCAATTTCTTCATCTGCAAAATGAGGGAATGGGATTAAATGATCTCTAAGACATCCCTTCCAGCTTTAAATCTAAATGTTCTCTAAGGTTCCTTGAAGCTTTAAAATCCCATTCATGTGTGAAACATAACTTGGTGATAAATCATGGTTAAAAACAAAAACAAAAGAAATGAAACTGAATCAATGAGGGAGCAGCATAAATGTAGGTTGAATTGACGCCAGCCCCATCCCCCTCCAGATAAAATGATTGCTCACATTGATACAGCATGTAAGAGGATTTGCAAAATGTTTCCCCCCAATAAGGTAGATTCTGTAAGGAAGAAGTGGGGAAGATTGGTGAGCAAGTAAGTACGGCATTTAGATAGCTCTAATTGTCTGAGATGTTTCTGCACGTTGAGCCCACTTTGCCTCTTTATCCATCACTTTCATTTCTGCTCTAGGGAACAACCAAACAGAACAGGTTGATCCCTCTTTCACGCACAGCTCTTAAATTACTTAAAGATAACTGTCCCATCTCCCCCTAATCTGCTCTTGTCCAGGCTAAACACCTTCCACCAGTCCTCCAGTGGCACCGACTCAAAGTCCTTCACCCTTCTGGTTGTCCTCTCCAGCTTGTCAGTGTTCTCTGTGAAATGGGATACCCAGATTTGGTCTGTACAGAGAATAATCTGATTTGAAAGCAGTATTGCTTTTCCTTGGCTGCTAATTTGGGGAGTTTCATATGACATGAGGGAGTTCTGACCAGCAAGACAGTTTAGATTTGCTTTTCACCAGCTCTGATGTTCCAGTGTTTGGAAAGACAAGGGACCAAATTTCTGACAGGTCTGGGATTGCCTCTCACAATAGTTCATGAAGTTATCTGACTCTACATTTTTTCATCCGTGACCAGGCCAGAATTGTTTATAAAATTATTTGGCACATTGAGAAAGCATTTCTATAAGTTTGATGCCAATACATTTATAATTTATACCTTTTTCCCTTCCCAAGACAGAACTAGAAACAGGCGTATGATATTGTCTATAGGACATGTCACTCAGTGTTCCAGCTTTTGTCCCAAAGTATCTTTTCCATTTCATGAAAATAAAGATGACACACATATGTTCACACACACACTTCCCCTCTGTTTGAGGCATTTTAAGGAGAAGCAATTCCCGGAGCAGTGGTGTCCTTGAAGACAGTATGATAGCAGTGATAGGAACATTAAAGATTAAGATAAATGCTTTGGAGCTCACTAGTTTGCATGTTTCTGAGTGCATGCAGAAGACTGAGGAAATTTTAGTGAATCCAAGCAAAAGTTTCCATAAATAGGCTGGTCAAATGAATAGAAATGGGAATAGGGGACATAGGAAGCTAAGAGATATTCAACATGATGGCCTTGTGGCACTTTGTGCAGAGAAGAGTAGAAGGGTAGCATCTCGATAGGGCTGTGAAATGGCTAATATTGGCTGTAAGTATTTTTTAAAGGTATGGTCTAGTATACATACTCTATCAAATATGGATTCCCTTTTGGAAAGTTTTATATTTTTTGAATATGTAAAGAAAATATGACTCAAAGAAGGCTTCTTCCTTCTCATCTGTAAGCTGGATTTTGATGACCATTCTCATTTCGTTCTCTGATCACTGATGATTTTGAAGTCAAATTAGCCCTTTAATTTCTGATTGGGCAATGTAAGTGCTTAATATTAAGAATTAATTTTCCTGGTGCAGCTAGGTGGCACAGTAGATGGAGCACCAGCCCTTGAGTCAGGAGGACCTGAGTTCAAATGTGGCCTCAGACACTTGTACCCTAGGCAAGTCACTTAATCCCAATTGCCTCACCAAAAAAAAAATAATGATTTTCCTCCTTTATTTCCCTCAAAAGAGAGAGAGAGCCAAGTGAGTATTTAAATGTTCTAGTCTTGCATTCACATATTCCTATGTATGGCCACATTCCTAGTACCACAATCGTAATTTTCTTATTATACCGAATAAAAACCAGCTACTGAAGCACTCCCAAGTTCCTGGGAGCGCCTAGCCATGGAATGCTAATAAGCTGTGGGCCTTACTTAGGCATATCTGTTAAGTTCTTCATATCAGCAAGCTGGAGGGGACACACACACATAGTTAGGTTTCTCTTATTGGAGATGTATTGTTATTTTCTGTGACCCCAAATCATTACTGATGAAGCCAAATGAATAGACACTAAGTGTCCTGATTGCAGTTGGTGACTGGTCTTAGATCAACTGTTGCTCCAGTGGAAGTTTCCATTGATCATTGGTTAGTTCCTTCTTGAAATAGTGGAACGTGCCAACTTTAGTCTTTGAATAGAGACAAATTAGAAATTTTCAAGGCGATTAGGAAGCCAGTTACATTCAAATTTCAGCTTAACTAGTCTCCTTGTCATCCTATTCCCATTTTTAAAGTTCTTTTTAATTCTTCTGGGCTGAAGACCTTCTAATGGCCCTTGATGGCTTCATGAGATTGCTTTGAAAAGCTTTTGATGTGCCACTTATTTCTAGTAAAACCACAAATGACAGCTAAGGGTTGAGGCCTCTCAGACTCCTCACCTTCTTCCATAGTGGTGTGTTGTGCTTTCACTGGGAAATATCCTCGGAACCCACTCATAAAGCCGCCACCTGCATAGAAAGTTGCTGATAAATATCTTTTGGAAAGAAAGAAGTAAAAACTGGAAATTCTTTTCATTTAACAAGCCTGTACTCTGAGATGACCAGGATTCTTAACCATTTTGGTCATTGACTCCTTGGCAGTCTGGTGAAGCCAAAGGGCTCCTCCTCAGACTGATGATTTAAATGCATAAAATAAATAGGTAGGATTACAAAGGGAAGCAGTTATGGGGAAATGCAGCTATTGGATTTTTTTTAAAGTCATAAACCCCAGGTTATAAATCCCTAGTCTATAGTTATCAGCAGTAATACCCAGGAATTCCAAAGCAGCTGTTACTGTTATGATCCAAACAATCATCTCTGATTTCTTTTCCAGGGCCAGCCCCTTGACCAGGCTGCCATTTTTCCTCCACAAGTGCGACCATCATCCCAACTTCCTCAGTATTCAGGGTTGCAACAGGCACAGGTACCTACATTCCGTAATTCTTTAGACATCGCTGATTATTTTGTTTTCCACAGGGGGCTGTTGCTGAGATTATGCTTAGACTCTAGAGCAAGCGCTCAGTTTTTATTGCCCTCAGCTATGCAAAATATTTATATTTGACCAGTCTTTTCCCTAGGGGGCCCTGAGGTTGACCTGACATATAGAGGACATTGGTAAGAATTTCCAGGAATGTCAAGGTGCAGGATAGGACAGTGAATTTGAAGGAGCAGCCAGTCAGAAGACATCAGTTTCGATCTTGCCTCTGCTATTTACTACCTATGTCACCTTAGCTAGGTTATTTTCATATCTGTAGCTTGGGTTTCTTCATCTGCAGAGTGAAAGGCTTAGGCTAAGGTCCTTTTTGAATCTACAGTAAGATATACAGGCCCTCAGTTGTCTAAAATTAGAGCTGAAGGGAACTGTAAATGGGATTTTGTTCCTGCCTCTTAACTGAATTTCAAAGAGCCTTGCTAAGGTTCCCAAAGCTAGTAATGACATAATTGGTACTCAAACCCAGGTCTTCTCACACCAAATCTAGTAATATTTTCTACCACTGATTGTAATCAGTTTTGATAATGTCTAAGATGCATATTTACTAAATGAAATCAGTAATCAGTGCCCTTCCTAATTAAACCTCCATTAGATTCATTAAATGCAGAAAGGTTAAAATGCTTGTCTAGGGTCAATACATAATGTCAGACAGCACCTAGCCCCACCTTATTTATCCAACTATATTTTTCATGGCTTCTCCTACCCAACCAATCTAGTCCAATCACTATCCCTTTCCATCCTACCTACCAGCCTGACCTTTTTCCCCCCTTTCATGCTTTTACCCACGATAAGCTTATGCTTAAAATATTCCTCCAATTAATTGATGATGAAGCATGCCACCCACATCTTGACAGAGAGATGATGGACCCAGGATGCAGAGTAATGCATATGTTTTCAATCACAGCTGTTGCAGGAACTGGTTTTGTTCAAGTGTACATATATATTTGCTAGTAGGATTTGGTTTTTTTTGTTTTGTTTTGTTTTTCTTTGGCTGAGGAAGAGGGGAGGTAGGGAGGAGGGAGAGAAGGAAGGAAAGCAGAGAAGGAAAGAAGTAGGGGCAGCCAGGTAGCATAGTGGAGAGAGCACCAGCCTTGAAGTCAGGAGGACCTGAGTTCAAATCCAGCCTCAGACCAAACACTAGATACTTACTAGCTGTGTGATCCTGGGCAAGTCACTTAACCCCAATTGTCTTTTAAAAAAAAAAAAAGAAGGAAAGAGGTAAGGAGTGAAGGAGGGAGAGAGGAAGGAAAAGAAGGAAACAAACGAAGGGAAGAAGAAGGGAATAAAGAACCTCCTTCCTACATGTTGAATTTATTATATACTTATAAAAGCAAGATATACAAAAAGAGATTCCTAGCTTTTTATGCAAGCCTTATTAGAAGGTTCATTTCATTTGATGTTAGGTTTATACTAAAAATTATTTAGAAAATAATCTTTTTCATAAGTCTAGTTCCATTACCTCCTTTAAGACTCTTCTTTCAAAAAAACTTTCCTTGACTAACTTACTTTTGCTCTGATCAGTTCCCTTTTCTGTTGCCTCATTCATTCATTTTTTTCATTCATTCATCGTATGTGATAGAATACAAAGAATATTTTAATTTGCAGTCTGAAGACCTGGGCACAAATTCCGACTTGGCCCCTAACTACCTCCTTTCAACGAGTCACTTAATCCCTCTCAGTCTCAGTTTTCTCATCTTTAAAATGGAACTCTGATCTCATGTCTCCTCTTGTTCTAAAAAAAGCCCATGATCTTCAACAATAGTTGAGCCCCATCTGTGTGCAAGGTGCCGTATCAGACAGTCAGAGGGATACAGAGATAAGAGATTAATGGCGTGCGTCTTTTCCCCACAGAGACCTCTTGTTGTAGAAAGGGAGGTGAGGTACATAGATTATAACTATAATTCACTATAGTATGTGATCAGTTCTGCTAGAACTAAGAGCAAAATGTGATTCTTTCCAGCTGGTGGGGCGGGAGCAGTGGAATCAGAGAAGGCATTCCATTTGTTAAAGGATGGCTAGATTTCAACCAGAGGGGGTAAGGAGTTGGGACAGAAATCTCCTGCCGCATCAGGAAAAGGCTGAGTAGTCGAATTTGGCCAGAGTATAAGGTATGGGAAGAAGAGTCAAACGAGAAGAGAATGAAAAAAAAAGGAGTTTAGAAGCAGACAATTCAGGGCCTTGAATGCATCAGCATATAATTGACATTGCACAAAGATACAGCAGAAAGCGACTTGGTTCTGGGTTCAAATCGCACCTCTCTCACTATCTGTATGTTCTTGGACAAGTTACTTAGGCCTCTGGGCCTCAATTTCCTCATTTGTTAATTAGAGGCAGTTAGGTGACATAGTAGATAGAGCACTGGACCTGAAGTCAGAAGTCCTGAATTCCAGGCTGGCCCCAGACACTTACTAGCGATGATGTGACCCTGAGCAAGTAACTTGACCTCTATCTGCCTCAGTTTCCTCATCTATAAAATGAGGATAATAATGGCACCTACCTCCCAGGGTTGTTTGTGAGGATCAGATGAGATAATATATGTTAATATATGTTAATCTATATCATATATAACATATGTTAATGTATAAGTATTTTGCAGATCTTAAAGTTCTATGCACATGCTAACTTACTATTAGAATGAGAAGATTAGACTAGGTGGCCTCTGAGATCCCTCGCAGATCTAGAGCTGTGGTCCCATGTTTTTCTTCCTGTATTTATATTTCTTCCTATATTTTCCTGAAACTAAAACTGGGGTTGTCCTAATGACCATGGAGTTGTCCTTTTACCATGGGGGATTATTTTCCTTACAGGCAATGCCCCATGGATATACCATGTACAGTTCGCAGATGCCCCTCCAGCCACAGCAGCCGACCAGCGGGGTGGTCCTGTCCCCCGGCTACAACTCCAGAACATATCCAGCTGCACATTCCAATCCGGCTCTGATGGAGAGGCTTCGGCAGATGCAGCAGCAGCCACCACCAAGCGGGTACATTCAGCAGCAAGCTGCCGCTGCCGCCTACCTTCAGCCTCTGCCAGGATCTCAGAGGTGAGGCTTCAGTCGCCATACTGATGAAGAGGACAGCTGCTTACATCGTGTGCCTTTTCACTCTGTCCAGCCATCTCTACCTGTTGTCTCATATGGAGTAGAAGAGAATCTGTTGCCCAGCGGGACTTTAGAAACCATTTAGTCCTAAACAGAGTCTTTGGACATGATTCTTGGAACTTCAAGTTCCTCATCCACCCCTTCCAAGCTGTGTGACCAACCATAGAGGTCACCAGCAGACATTTCAGTGCCTGCTCTCTGCTCTGCACTGTGTCATCTCTGCAAACACAAAAACAAAACCCCCCAAGGAACCTACATTCTCCTGGGGCTAGCCAGTATTTGTACCGTTAGAAAAATATGAAGTAGTCTGAGAAAGTCCCCAGAAAAGTCACTCAGTTTCCTCATTCTGTGCAGTGGGTGACGATATACTGCCTATTTCGCTGGTTGTGGAAAAAATGCTTTTGTAACTTTGAGGTGCTGTATAAATATGATTGTATGTTTACGTCATAATGTTTAGTTATTTTATAGATTAGGAAACTGACATCCCCTCCTCAGAATAAGCAGTTTTGCTTTTTTTAATTGAAGACCCTGGTCTTGATTTATAGCTTTGAAGGCAGAGCAACAACAGTTATTATGTAATTATATGCTAGGCACTATGCTATTATTCTGGGGATCTAAAGACAATTAAAAAGCAAGACAGTCCCTGCCTTAAGGAATTTACATTCTTTCAAACCTAATTTAAAATGAAGATAACTTATCTAGCCCAAAGTAGGGTATAGAATTGGTGGTGGTAGTGGTGGTGTTAGAGGTGTTTTAAGTGTAAACCTTGGCTAACTTAGTCCATAGCGGTCTTGCTTTTGATGAAGAACTAGCTAATAGCGGAGGATTATTATTGACTTGGGAAGCAGTGCCCTATTATGCTATATAGCTTGCTGGGAGATAAAAGGCCATTAGTTTCAGTAAGACATGGTACCTTATCAATTTGCGATTGATTTGACCTAGGAGCCCCCATCGGAGATTTTCTTTTTCATTGAAGCGGTATTGTGAGGTCTTCACATTACTTCCATTAATAAAACCCCTTGGATAACATCCAAAGTTAGATCTTCCTTGTGAAGAATTTCCCACTTATAATGGGTGGTATTAAAAACTCCACCATTTTGATCAATTGTTTATGATCAAGTACTCCATAAAATGACTTCTAACAGAGTATGAACATTTCAAAGAGTTTTTTTTAAATAAGCCATGCTTACAGAATTATTAGTTGGCAGATAAAAAAATTATTCATTTGAAAAATAATAATTTGATTTTTCAAGGATCTATTTCTTGAACACTGAACTTTCATTTTACAAGCTGCTTAGTGGAGGAAATTATGTAGTTACTCTAAGTGCAAAAGCTGTTCTGATTAGGTTTAATTATAAAGCCTTATTTTTTTGGAGTAAGGGATCTTCGTCTTGAGAACACAGACTAGATTCCTCAGGTCTATAAAATGTCTCTTTTTTTAAATTTTAATAAGTGTATTTTAATATAATTGCTTTCTATTGCAATCCTATAATATTTTAGTTAATGTTATAATAATGTAAAAATACATTATTATTACTAAATCCTATATTTTATTTTGAGTTTTTTTCTGTATTTTATTTGTACATTTAAAAACATTATTCTCAGAAAAGGAGACAGGGTCCATAAGCTTCCCAAGGCTGCCAGTGGGGTCCATGACACAAAAAAAGGTTAACTCCCATCCTCCCCCTTCCCCATGTTACAACAATCACATTGTAGTTATAAATTCACTTGAATCTGTTAGCAAAATCATGGGATATTCCTGTCGTACCACCAAATGTTTTCATCTAATACATTTGAAATCCTGAAGATTCAGAGCTATTTGTGTTGGAAGAAGAAGAGATGTCAAATTTCTTTTCACTTTCCAGACTGACCCATCAACCTTTACAACAAAGTCCTTTGGTTGGCGGGGGACTGGATGCGGTACTGACCACTACGCCCCACCCAAACCTCAATTCTGTGCCGTTGCCTCAGGACCAGATGAGACAGAGACAGCAGCAAATCAGACAACAGAGGCTCCTTCAGGTGGGGGATCATGCGATAAGCGAAACGGATAGTCAGTGCACAGTCCTGCTGCTGTTAATGCTGTTGCTGTATACAAATAAAGAAACAAGCTTCTAGGAATGTTAGTATCTCTGCAACATAGTGTAGTTACAACTGAGTTAAGAGTAACTCTTTCTTCCTATGCTGTTGTCTATCAATAATAACAATAACTGACATTTAGATAGTGCTTTAAGATTTGCAGAGCACTTCGCATGTGCTACCTCATTTGAACCTCACAACAATCATGGGAGGTAGGTGCCATTAATATCCCCATTTTATAAATGGGGGAACTGAGACTGAGAGATTAACTAGAGACATATAGCTAATAAATTAGTGTCTAAGGGAGTATTTGAACTCAGCTGTCCCTGACTCCAAGCCTAGCACTCTGTTTATTATCCCACCTAGCTGCCTTTTATGTGAGAATTAAGGGAAGGATAGATTTTTTTTTTCCAGGGTGGGCCTCATAGTGACTCTACTGTTTTGAGGCATTAGGGGTATGTGCAAAGGGGGTCACCATATTTGAAGGTCTTATCCTCAGCTGAGCACATTTTTTTTAAAAACCTGAATTATTAGCTTTCCAGGGCCAATCACATTAAATACTTCATTTTCAGTGGTGCTGATACCTAAACCAGGAAAAGCAAAAACAGAGAAAGAAAATTATAGACCAATTTCCAAAACAGATTTCGACTTGATGACCTTTGGAGCCCTTTATGGAGCTCTTTATAGCTCTAGAATTATGATTGCATGACCTTAATTTATCAACCAGGAGGCCAGATTATTCATTTTAAAAGGGGAGGTAGGAGGGCAAACTATAAATAGAGGACTAGCATCCTCATGTCTGTCATACCCCATTCACATATCAAAATGTCTAGGAAATTGAATCTGTAATGAAAACAAAATTTTGTGCATAGTGGTCATTAAATCAGAACAAGAAAGTTGCATGTTCAGACTTTAGGGGAAAATTAGAAACCCATCAGTTTGGCAATGCAGCCTTCTGCTTATCCAGGCTTCTCATAGAACACCCCGTCACGAGCTCTGTGTTTATGTCAGATTGGCCTGCATTCATCCCTTCTGCCTCCATGACATTGTACAGACTATCTGCCATGGCTGGAATTCACTTCCTCCTTACCTCCAGCACTGAGCATCCTTAGCTTCCTTCAACCCTTAGCTTAGGTAACCTCTCCTATAGGATGTCTTTCTTGATCCCTGATTGCTTGTCTGTAAATATCTCTATAATATTCTTGCTAGAATTACAGGCATTGTTTCTGTGCCGCTGGATAATAATAGTGTATACCCACCTAGAATCATTTTGTTTGCCTGATATTGAGCCTTTTTCATCTGATACACATTGAAAGATTCTAATTTTCTGATTCTTATTTGTTTTTGTTTTTTGAGATTCCATGTTGACCATTAATTACCTGTTTGTTATCACAAAATTTCTTCAGGATAAGCTTGCTACAATAAAAGAAATTTCAGCTTACTTATATTAATTACACTTAAATTGGTGCCTCCTTGGTGGGTTTTTTGGGAACACTAATCATTTGTTGAAATTTGGGGGGGGGGGAGCTGGTAATCTAAGCAATTTATTGATAAATCTTGTAAGTACTATAGCTGCTGAATCTTATTTACTTTATTTTTAAGGGTTTTCTTAAAATAAAGTTTTAATAGCCTTTTTTTATTTGTTTTTATCATTTAAATTTCCTTCTGTAATCTAATCTCCTCACGTCATCTCTCACAGAGAGCTACCTCTTATAACCAATAAATTTTAAAAGAAAAAGAAAGAAGAAAAAAAAACCCAGCAAAATACATTTTTAAAAATCTGATATATGTGTCCTGTACCTTTGGACTCCTGCAAAGGACTCCTCTCTTTCTCCCTTGTCCTTTCTGCAAAGGAATGGGGGAAGTTTCTTCTCATATTTCTTCTTTGGAATCAAGTTTGTGCTTGGTAATCTTGCAGTATTTTTTCTTTTATCATTTTGTCATTGTCGGTCTTTCCATTTACATTGTTGTAGTAGTGTTGGGTATGTTTTTTTTCTTGGTTCTTTATACTTCCCTTTGCATCTGTTTAGCTAAGCTTTTCCATGCTTCTCCATATTCATTATATCCATTATTTTTTTTATATCACAATAATATTCCATTTCATTCATGTACCACAATTTGTATAGCCATTCCCCCAGCCAATAAGAATCTAAATTGTTTTTAGTATATTCATTATATGTTGATGTTTGTTCATTTCAGTTTCAGAGGGTGACTTTTTTTTAAACCTTCTCCCTAAATCTTAGAGTATTTTTTTTTGGAGATTTGCAGTCCCTTGTGCACTGACTACACTATGCACAATATATTAATCCTTATTGTAACAACAATAGATCATGAAACTAATCTAGAGACTCTGTTGGATTGATCAAGGATGGGTGTCCTCCTAAGGTCCATCACCATTGAGGACAGTTTGGATCTAGGCCATCTTAGATCTTTATGTCTTAAGGACATAAAAACCAGTGTTATTTCCACTCCTTTTCTGGGAGCTCGGGTTACTTTATAGACAAGTTTTAAGTAATTTCAAAGTCTTCACAATAGAATGTATCATCCCCCTTGTGGAGGGAGGAGGGGTATGGAATCTACCAGTCAACCCAAAAGTATTTAAGCCTTAGAATGACTATCTTGGGATTGGCCATAGGAATGAGTCCTTTGGGGAAACAACGAAACATCTCAGCCCTCTTCCCTTTCCTCACCCCTAATATCAGGACTCAGACAGCTCTTCCATGGATCTCAGTACCTTATTAGGCTAAGCCTCTGCTGAACTAGACGCTAGGCAAGAAACTAAGAGGGGAAGGAAATTGTAGAGGAGGACAGGGCAGAACAGAAGAAGAGTGAGAGAAGATTGAAATGAGAGGCTTTTGATGTCAGATTTAAGTCAAGAGGTTTATGGAGTGAACCCTAGATTTGAAGTCAGGGTATTTGGTTTGCAGTTCTCACCCTAGCTGTTTGACCAAAGGCAAATCACCTCACTACTCTGAGGCCGTTTTATTATCTATATTGTGAAAATAACAAACAATAATGGCACTATTCATCTCATAAGGTATTTGAGAAAAAAGACAATTTAATGACGGTATCTAAGGATTGAGGAGTGATGGGTGGGATTTGCACAGAGATATTTCAGCTTGATTCGCTGAAGAATTTCCTGTTAATCATCAATATCCAAAGGGGAAATGGGCTGCCTCGGGGAGAGTGGGATCCTCCCCCCACTGAATACCTTACTTTTAGAAAAGAAAGAAATTTGTGAACCAAGAAGTCTTCGTGGATTGGTGGGTCCCTGAGCTGAGCTTTGAAGAATGGGTAGGATTTCACTGAGAAGTTAAGGGAGGGAGTAAACTCTCCTGGGTTGAGCCAAGAAACTAACAGGTCGCAGCTTTACACTGAATTTAAGGATGGCACGCCTTTGTGTGGTATTTAGATTTTGATGAGTTTTGTCTTCAGTTACAGCAGCAACAGCAGCAGCAGCAGCAACAACAGCAGCAGCAGCAGCAGCAGCAGCAGCCCCAACCGCAGCAGCAGCAGCAGCAGCAGCAGCCTCAGGGTCAGCAGGCACTGGGACTCCAAGCAATGCAGCCACAGCAACCTTTGGTAAGAAGATTCGTGGAAGAATGTGTATGTGTTTAGGGTGGGTGGCTTTTACATGTTCTTATGACACATAAAAGGCACCAATGGGTATATGGACTTTATGAGTAATATTGTTGTAGAACTGTACTACAGCCCTCCTAGACAGAAGGAGGAAATAGATGAGAGGTCTAATTGGAAAGGTCAAAGGTCTGGCATAGAAGACATGGAGGTTTCACTTATCCAGATATCTTCTACAACTTAACCTTCCCTCCTGCTCCCTTCTTACCTCTTCCTCTCCTTTCCCCCTCCCCTTCTTTCACTCTTCCCATCTGTTCTCCCCTTCCTTGTCCTTTCTTGTACTTTTCCCTTCCTTTTTCTTTCCTCCTTCCTCCTCTTTTCTTCTCCCTTCCTCTCCTTTCCCCCTCCTCTTTCTTCCTTTCCCTTCTCTCCCTCTTTCTCCTTTCTTCTACTTTCCCTTCCCTTCTTCTCTCTTCCTCTTTCCCTCCTTCTTTTCACTGTCTTCCCTTTCTCTTCTGTTCTTTATCCCTGTCCTCTTTTTTTCTCTCCCCCTTCTCTTTCCCCCTTTTTTTCCTCTCCCATTCCCTCTTTCTCCCTCACTTTTTTTTTATCACTTATAAAATATTGGCTTGCTTAAATGGCAATTTAGCACTTCAAGAAGTTAAAGAAAACAGTAAAAGGTGGTGCTGTTTCTGAATCTGATTCAGACCAAGAAGTAATGCATTGAAAGACATTTGGAACCCTGGGAAAGAAGTGACCATTCCACCTTAGATTTTGTGATAGTAAAAGAGAGGAAAGCTGAAAAAAATCTCATATGTACCCTAAATTTTTAGAGAGGCATATGTAGAAATTAAGAGCACGTATGAACAAAATATGTAAATAAAAATTTTTTTTAAAAATTAAAGTAAATAAGTATTGTTTAGTAATAATGCAGTACAAAGCAGTATATGACTAGGCACCAAATTAATGGTACAGGTAATAAGTGCTGTAGGATAGAGGTATTAAATATGCCCATGCAAGTGCCAGGAACCAAATGAAAATATAATCAAGAAACATGTAACAAAATAAACAAAAATATGTAAGAACACAGATAATGTTAATATGTGATTTTTGCTATCAATATGCTGCCAATGAATGGTTTAGTGGCCACATTTCTATTTGGGTTTGACACAACTGCTCTAGGATGTCAGAAATTGTGAACTGTAGCAATGGAGTAGAAAAAGAAATAGTTTTGAAGTCAGAAGACTTGGGTTGGAATCCCGGCTCTACTGTTTATCTAGGTTAGTTTGGATAAGACTTAACATCTCTGGGGCTCAATTTCTTTATCTGTCAAAAAGAGAAGAGGTTGACCTAGTTTCTTAATCTGAAATTCTCTAAACTTTTGATAGATAGATAGATGGATAAATAAATAGAGGGATGAGTAATAATAATGGGTGGGTAGGTAGATAGATAAGGATGATGCGTAGATATATAGATATGACAGATATCATACATACATACATACATGACAGATGATGATGATGAATGGGTGGAGGGATAGATAGAAAGATAGATAGATAGATAGATAGACAGATTCATCTGAATATAATTGGTTTCTTTTCTTATCCTTTTTTTCTTTTGTACATTTAAAAATACAATTTTGAGAAGGTATCCATAGATTTCACCAGGCTACCCAAAAGGGTTCATGACACCAAAAAGGTTCAAAACTATTGGCATAGATTACCTCCGAGGTCCTACATCCTGATCCGTATCCTAAAATGCTAGCAGGCTTCCTTAAGGAGGTGAATGAGATAGACCTTTGAAGGATATGGAAGATTGGAACTGTCTCTGCCCTATTGCTTATAAGAAGAGTTCAAAGCCTAATCAAGCCACTTAATTTCTTGGTCCTTCAGTTCCTTCTCCTCGGAAAGAGAAAGGAAGGGAAGAAGCGTTTATTAAGAGCTTACTCCATGCCAGGCCCTGTGCTAATTAATCACTTATTAATCACAAATATCATTTCATTTCATCTCTAAAATGGAGATAATAATGCCTGCGGCACCTACCCTACAGTTTCAGTGAGGCTCAAGTGAAATAATGAATGCAAAGTACTTTGTACCCTTTAAAACCCAGTATAATGTTAGTTATTGCTACTGAGGTCTCAGCTTATGTTGAGATGCTGGTTCTGCAGATTGTCATTGGAACCACCAGGGACATCTGGAACCCGGCACAAATGCACTTCTTTTCCAACATGGGACTGGACAGATAGAAAGACAGACAGATGAAGTGTCATTAGATTCAGCTTGCCAAATGAACTTAAAAGAAAGCCTCTGCTTTTGATAGTTGGTAGAAATGTAGTACCTTTCTACTGAAGGTAGACCAAGAAAACCCAAGTTTATATAGCGAAGCTTGTGGTAACCACACGTTAATGCCTTTTTTGTTATTTGCTAACCTAAGTAGTTTGGATGTTATAAAAAAGCATCTGGAATTTAAGATCTAATTCTCTTTGCTCTTAAATAAGATTTTGGCATCTGTGGTCTTTGGCTTCAGTTACCCTCTGGAATTGAAAATGTATTTAAAACGTTAAAGTTTTTGAGTTAGCTGCTGACTCCATCTGTAAATAGAGAATGGACTTTCCTTAGAACTCCAGCCAGGATTTAAGAAAATCATGTTTATACCCTTCCTACTGTGTTCTTTCTTTTCATCTTAAACCCATGCTGCCTTAGCTAGTAGCCTGGGAAAACATGGCAAAAGACAGTTTGAACATTGGGATTTTTCAAAAGACTAGTCATTAGAATCCCAGGTTTAATTATACAGGGTATCCAGGATTGTACATGGTCTGTTCAGATATTTGTATTTACTGCCTTTTAAGTTTTTTTTTAATGAATGATGCATTAACCTTTAATCAGATACAAACATGTCACATGCCAGAGTCTCACATCAACAGTCACATTTTTTAGAATTTCTAAGGGGGTGAGAAGACGGCAGGCATTGTAATCTTCCTTTTGGAAAGTAAAGAACTGAATTCTAAAGATCCTAGTCCAAGGATCTCTAGATGGAAAGCCTTGCTTTCTGTTCGGCTCAAATTATTTGTTTCTGGTAGGCTTGTGATAGGAGTTGGGGTGGAAAGGGATCAGCTAATAAAATCGGATGATTAGGTTTTCTGGAGCAAAAGAAAGAAATGATGCACCTGCTATATCATTTGAATAAAGGTTTCTTTTTCTCTGATAAGAAAAGCAATTACATCCAGATCACCATAGTAACATAGTCTTTCTTGAGTCTAGACCATCAATCCATTGGTTCTGAGGAGTTGTCAGTAGTCATTCTGGTTGAGCTGCCTTAGAGGAAGATTAAGTTCCTAGACCAGTGGAGACCTCCCTTTGTGCCTGCCTGTAGACCTATGTGCAAACTGGTAACTCATGATGAAATTTAGCCTGCATTTTTAAAAATTTAATTTAATATAATTTTTTTCAACTAACAAGAATAGATTCCTTTTTTCCTTACCATGCTATCCTCTACTGAAAAGGAAAGGAAAAAAAAATCAAATCCCTTGTAATAAATATATATAGCCCAGCAAATTTCCACATTGTCACTAGCCCAAAAAAGTAATCAGTATGTAGAACAGGGGAAGTACAGTTTCACTGCTTTGCTTTGGTGATGGTGAAAGGAGGTGTACCAAGCAGACAGAAGTGTTTGATCCTCAGATCTTTGGAAGCACCTGCTTATAGAAGCACTGTCTTTCCCTGTTGTCTTCTTTCTTAAATCACTGCCTACGGTAGCGTGGTAGCTTCAAGGTGAATTGGGGACAACTGCCTTGATTCAGTTTTCCAGGAAGTTTTTCGTAAGATGAATTTAAAATAAGCGCAACAAAGACGGAGTCTTTCATCTAAGTATTTCATAGAATTAAGGTTTTTTGAGACCAAAGATACCTTAGTAATTCATCTATCCCAACCCCATCTTTTTAAAAAGGAAATCAAAGTCCACACCTGCCAAGATGACATTCCTTCTGCCCTACTGTGCACCTTCTGTTAGAGGAATTAACTAGTAATAGCTTTAGAACAGGCATATGTAGGGAGCATTAGAGAAAATAGTGGAATCCTTGCTCTGTACCTATGCTGTTTATCTTTCTTAAAAACTACCTTACTAGTGACAGAATTCACAGTCATGGAATTGTTTTAGTTCTGATCTAACAATTGACTGTAATTGACTGTAAGAGAGTGTAGCCCTAACGTCAAGTGATCGATTTTTTTTTAAACCTTTTTCAGGAGGATTCTAGACCTGTGATATAATTGGTGTGAGGGAACTCCCCACATGGATATTCCTACCAGTGGTGCAGGTTGACATTTTATCTGTAACTTGGGAGTCTGATTGAATTATCTAAGGCCCTGAAATGAGTTGAGGAACTCTTATGTGCTGGAGACAGGAGTAGATTTCAGGTCTTCCTCACTCTTAAGGTCAGCCCTTTGTTCTTCAGTGGCTTAGAAAAAGGTAACCAGCAAATGCTTGCTGAGGATTGGTATTTCCCTGGGGTAACTACTAGATCCTCCAGCCCCTTTGTTGGAGCTGAAAATAGCTTGGAAGCTTAAAAAAAAAAACTCACTGTATTTTCCAAAAAATTAAAAAGATCATCTAGTAAGAAAAGGAGTAGGGAATCATAGTTGGACTGGTGTTACCATCCTTCTGTATCTCCTTTGTGGATTCATCACCCAAGTCTCACAGAGTACATGTACCGTAGGGCCTTCTCCTCTTCTCTCTTTGCACTCAATGATTTCATTAGCTCCCAGGGAGCCATCTTTATGCAGTTGACTCCCATATTTCTCTATCAAGGCCTCAGCTCTCTCTTGAACTCCAGTTCCATATCCCTCTAGCAGCTCCACTTGAGTATCTCATATTCATCTCAAACTCAACATGCCCCAAACAGAACTCATTGCTTTTTCACTAAATATATAACCTTGTTTCTATACTGACTTCTCCGTGTTTTTTTAATGAGGGATACCACCATTCTCTCAGTTGCCTGGGTTTGCCACCTAGGAGAGTTCCTCAACTCTTAGCTCTCCCCCATTCCCTGTATTCAATGAGTTGCCAAGTCTTGAGATTCCACCTTCTTTAGAATTCACCTGTTTCTGTTCACCCCACAACTCCCTTCATCTAGATGTTCATTATCTCTTGCTCAAACTATTTGTCCAGTTTTGTCTCCTTGGACTCATTTCACATACCTGCTAAATCCATCCTTTGAGCACCCGCCAAATTGTTATTCTAAACTGCTGGTATAACCACATTCTTCAGCTCAAGAAGCTTCATTGGTCTCCATCGCCTTTAGGAGAAAATACAAGTGCTGCTGTTGAGTGTTTGAAGCCCTTCCTAAGCTGCCTCTACTCTGTCTTTCCAGGCTAATTACTTATTATTTGCTACAGCCATGCTGGCCATGTTGTTATTTCTCCTTCATGACATTCACTCTTCCACCTTCTCACCTTTGCACAGGTCAAAGCCCAGGCCTGAATCTGCCCCCCTCCTCATGGCTGGCTCTTGGGACCCCTCACTCCCTTCAGGGTTCAGTTCAAATACTGCTTCCTTCAAGAGGTCTTTCTCAATTTCCCCCAGTTTTTTTTAATTAATTTATTTTAGTTTTCATCATTTATTTCTATAAGGTTTTGAGTTCTAAATTTTCTTACCCTTCCTCTCCTCCTCCCTCCCTAAAATGGCATGCAATCTGATACAGACTCTACATATACATTCATATTAAGCATATTTTCACATTAGTCTTGTTGTAAAGAATTAGAACAAATGGAAGGAACTACAAAAAAGAATAGACAGCGACAACCAAAAAAAAAAAGAGAGAGAGAGAAAGAGAGAGAGAAAGCAAATAGTATGCTTCGATCTGCATTCAGATTGCATGGTTCTTTTTCTGGATGTGGACAGCATTTTCCATCCTGAGTCTTTTGGAGTTGTCTTAGATCCTTGCATTGCTGAGAAGAGCTAAATCTTTACGTCAAAGTTATTCTTTGCCTGATGTTGCTGTTGCTGTGTACAATGTTCTCCTGGTTTTGCTCACTTCACTCAACATCAGTTCGTGTAAGTCTTTCCAGGTTTTTCTGAAGTCTGCCTACTCAACATTTCCTATGGAACGATAGTATTCCATTACACTCATATACCACAACGTGGTCAGCCATTCCCCAATTGATGGGCATCCCCTCTATTTCCAATTCTTTACCATCACACAAAGAGCTGCTATAAATATTTTTGTACATGTGGGTCCTTTCCCCATTTTTATAATCTCTTTGGGATACAGCCCTAGAAGTGCTATTGCTGGGTCAAAGGGTATACACAATTTTACAGTTGTTTGGGCATAGTTCCAAATTGCTCTCTCTGGTTGGATCAGTTCACAACTTCACCAGCAGTGCATCAGTATTCCAATTTTCCCACATCGCCAACATTTATCATTTTCCTGTTTTGTCATGTTAGCCAATCTGATAGGTGTGATGTGATAACCCCCCAGTTGTTTATGCCCTCCTAATCATATAATTATTCTGTATATATCTTGTATTTACTTATCTGTGAATATATTGTATCCCCCCAGGAGAATGTAAATTCCTTGAAGGCTGGGACTGTCTCACTTTTGTAATTGTATCCCCAGTTCCTAACACATAGTAGGCAGTTATTATAAATGTTTATTGATTGATCCTGACTGCTAGCTTCTCCTTACTACTTTACATAGTGACCTGGGATAGGTTGGGCAGTTTAGAATTTCACTGAGTAATACCTGATTGGAGAGATTAATGTAGGACCAGGAGTCACGTTACAGCTAGGTCTCAATTTGTATGAGGAATAAATTCCCTGGAATGGTCACATTGTTTGAATTCATTCCACATTTTTTCCATTGGGTTAGAACCAGTTGCCACATTTTACATAATTATAACTTCAAATAGTGTCAGTTCAAATATATATGTTATTATTCCCATTAATCAAGACTTAGGTATATTCCCTTTTCTTTTAACTTTAGGCGACTGACTTCTTAGAATAAAAACCTCCAATAACTTGTCTACATGCCATATCTGTCTGTCATTGTGTTGAGATATGAATTTAAAATTGCTTCATTGTGTAAAATGTCTTTGTAGAAAGCTCAATAATTACATACTATATTTTTTTCTCTCACCTTTTTTAAAGAAAACACATTTATGGGATGCCTTAAATTTTACAAAACACTTTCCTCCCAACAATCCAGTGAGGTAGGTAGTGAAAGTATTATTGTACCTTTTTTTTACAGATGAGGACACTGAGGCTCAGAGAGATAGAGGCCCAGGGCCACACAGCTAGTAAGTGTCAGAGCCCGGATTTGAACTCAACCCTCTAATGTTCTATGGATTCATAGCAGGTTGTATTAATCATCACCATGGCAACATATTTGAACCTCTTTTATTTGCCACGATTGGCACAGTGTTTTCTTCAGTCATTCTTGATCATCATAAGTCCATAAGCACAACATGCCTTCAACTGAAAAACAAAACAAAACAAAACGTTTTCTTGTTCATATCAGTTGGATTAGATGGTATCTCAGGGCCTCCACTCTAAGAGTCCATGATTCTATGAAGGAAAGGAACAATAATGCTAAGGTTTTAGACATGGGAGACTAAGTAAGAGGTGGTATCACAAACAGAAATAGAGAAAAGGAAGTGTGGATACAGGGGGAAAGAACCCATTGGCTCTGGACTCAGAAGATCTGGGTTCAGATCCTACCTCTGATGTCACCTGCCCCCAAGACCTTGAGCAAATGTGGGCTTCAGTTTCCTCATTTATGAAATGAGGGGCTTAAACTCTGAGGTCCCTTCCAACTCTCACTCTTAGATCCAGGAGACAATAATGAGCACAGTTTTGGACATGTTGAGTTTGAGCCACTAGAGAAATATCCAGGTCGAGGAATTCTTCAGGCAATTGCAGATGGGAGTTTGGAGCTCAGCAGAGAGAGAAGTCAGGGAGGGAGAAGATAGGAAAACGCTAAAGACGAACTTTGCCCATTTCCGCGTTTTGTCTAGAGCTGGCCCTATGCCCATGAAAACAGAAGAGAAGTCTTTCTCCTCTCTTCATCTTCTTCCTGCAAAAATCGTAAGACCTCCCCATTCCCATCTTGTCAGATTAGCAACTTTAGCTCAGCTCCGTTAGCAACTTTAAGTAAGCATTTGTTGGCTAACTGCTTCAACACTGCTTCTTTGGGGAAAGGAAGTCCAACTTCCAATGGTTGACTTAGAAACAAACATTTTGAACAGTCTGTTTAAATCAGGAACCCTCTACACCAGGGCTTATTTACATTTTATGTCGTGGACCCCCTTGGCAGTCGGGTGACACTTATGGACCCTTTCTGAGAACATTTTTAAATTAAAAAAAAAAAAGACATAGGATTACAAAGGATATAAATGACGAAGTGCAATTATCAAAATATTTTTAAAAGTTCATGGACCCCCAAATGCTGCCAAGGCACATTTCTAGTTTGATAATTAAGTTAGATATAATATAAAAAGCAGAATCTATAAAGCTATAAAAGCAGAAGCCTTATCCATTATAGAATGGCATAAGATGGCTTACAGAAAATCTTTATCTCTTGTTCTCAAGTGCATCCTAGCTTTCCGAACAATTTCAGTCCTTCTTAAAAGGACATAAAATAGACAAGGGACGTAATTGTCCCAACTGGCAAGTACACTAGACAGGAAGAATGACAGCGTACCTTCCACCAAGGCACATCTTCACTTTTAAAGCCCAAACTGATACGTTGTTCATACAGTCCCCAGAATGTAATGCTTATGTTTCCATTTTAATTTGGAGTGAAGAATTTTGCTTTGGTCGAAAACAGCCTGGAGAAGGAGCATGTATGTGTATGTGTGTGTGTGTGTTTTTCTTGTTTTCCCTGATGGTCCGTGATGGGAGTTACTCCAGCCAACATTCATGCTCATCTCCTTTTGTGATTACAGTTCCCCAGGCAAGGCTTACAGCAAACACAGCAGCAGCAACAGACAGCAGCATTAGTCCGACAACTTCAGAAACAGCTTTCTAGTGAGTATTCCAGTTATCCTTGGACACCCAGCTCCTAGACTCCACATGGGGAGGAAGAGGTGCAGTATCATTCCATCCTTTGGTTTGGACCTGGGGTATTTTGTAGGAGTTACTCTCTACTCACTCTTACATTCAGTGAAGAAGTTTCTATCATTACTTTCATTTACAAAGTAAAAACTGAATCAGTCTCTGTTTTCGTGAGAGGAAATGTTGCTTTCTATTATAATTCACACTCTGATACTGTTTAAAATTAGTCTGGAGAAAATTTTTTTCTTGGGATTTATTCTTGTTGCTAAAATTGGTTTCTCAACCAAGTGAAAAAAGGGGTGTTAGAAAATGCCTCTTTTTTTGGATCATATAATACTTACTGGTGGGTGTCTTTTTTTTCAGTTTGTCTGCTTTTATGAAAAATATAATATGTGGAATTACCATGGATAAAATTTAATGTGGATGTTTCAGGGATTTATTACTTAGCTTTGAAAACGCTTATTTTAAAAATACACTTTACAGATATTTAGATTTCCTTGTTGTTTTCCACAGGGTTAAAATAAACTAAACTCTTCACCAAAAAAAAAAAATGTTAAGGTAAAGAATAGATTGGCAAAATCCAGCGTCCCTTTGGTTATATATACTTTGTAAATTTTTTTTTACTACTTCTTTGAATTTACTTGTCTTTTTTTTTCACTTATCTGCATTTATTATTGTCTTTTTACTTCTATGTGCCACTCATTTGCATGTACATAGCTAGCTACAGTTTTATAGGATTCATTTTTTTTTCTCTTTAGGTAACCAGCCACAACAAGGCGTAACTCCGTATGGGCATCCTTCACACTTCTGAAACGTGGCCGGAGAAATGACACCTACTTTGATGTTTGCACTGAAGAATAGCAAATCCAATCCAATGCACTAATTATTCTTAGAAATTCTCATATTTTGCTATGGTTTCTTTTCATTTTGCCTTGATTTTTTTTTTTGGTACTACATTTAGAGTGAAGCTTTAACAGAAAGCAGCAAGAGGCTTAGTTTGGGTTCCTTGCATTCAGCTTTAAAATCATTACCCGAGTTGGCTTCATCTGGGCAAACTTCCAAGAAGAGTTTTGTGGGGAAGCATTTGAAATTGGTGCTTTTCTGAATCTTTGCATTTCACAAAGAATGAAGAGTGCTGGATCTTAACATGTTTGTTTATTAGTGGCAAAGCATTTCGGGAGGAACCGTGCTGGACCAAACTGTTCAATGGAAAAGCAGGACAGATTTTGAGATCCAGGTTGACCTGTTCATTAAGTGCTCACCTCTCAGATCCTTTAACAGTGAAAAGGACATTTCTTTGAGACCTGTTCATTTTCAATGTTTGTAATTTCATAAGCACTTTATAAACTTTTTTTTTTGTGATTCAATGACAATTTTTTTTTCTCTCGCTTTCCTTGTGGTCAGAAGGTGCTGAAACAGTTTCTTCTTATATTTAAACTTCCTAAGAGTTATGGCAAAGCTGCGGGCTGAGGTTCTTAAACGTCATTAGCAGTAGCTGTGTTCTAAAGTTGCTCTCAGTGGAAATCTCTTTGACTGGAGGCCTTTAGAAATGGACAAAGCGTCCATTTCTAAAGGCCTGGATTTACCACAATGGAAATCACTAGCACTTCATGCCTGAGCCGGCAAGATGACTTTCCAGGTTCTTCTCTCTAGAGCCCTCTTGCCAGCTTAACAAAAGTCCCTGTCCCCATCCTAGGCAAGTTCTTCAGAGCTGTTCTGAGATTCTGTAGTGCTCAGGCATGGCACAGTTTCCCCAGAATCTGGCCCTAAGGCCCCCAAAGCTATCCTTCTCATAAGGTATACTTGGCTGTTTCTTTTGTGTGGTAAGTATTTACTCTTTTGAATTTAATTATTATTGTTAGTTAGTCTTGGTTGTGTATTGCCTATACTGTATTTATAAATTGGTGCAAAAAAAGCACAAGTAAATTATACATCAGATTTATTATAAAGAAATAATAACTATTTTAACTTTGTTCAAGTATGTGGTAATTTGCTCATATTCGAGTAAAAATTACAGTATATGATTATCAGTTTGTGTAACTTAAGAGTATTCCATATGATATTTTTTTAGAATTAGATGCACAAATTTTGAATGTGAAAATTGCAGGGCATTTAAAAAACATATGGGGATATTTTCCCTGGTCTGTATTCATTCATTTTTTTTTCTCTTTAGCCATATGATTTAAATGTACAGTAGTCAAACATACTGTGAATAGATGTCTATACTGAGCAAACTGCGTAAGGCGGCATTTTCCCGTGAATGCCACTAATTCCACAGTAGGTGGTAATTTTGTTTTGAAATGCATTCTCTGGGTGATTTGTATTTTCTGTGGCAAGTGACTCATTGCACATTTTGACAAATGCAAACAACCTCCGATTCACATCTGCTTACTTTTGCCGTGCTAACATTCATGTGGACTGCTTTGTACACTGTGAAATACTCCATTCCAGCCCATGGATTCTCAGTTTACTCTGGGCTGGGGAAAACTTTGCCAAAACATTAAGACCATTGTCATCCCTGAATTAAGTTTGTCTTTCTTTTCAGAACATCTGTCTGTAAAATTCAGCTTTTTTGTTTCGAAGATCATCATTAAGTGAAATTGTTCAATTACTATATACTTGCTATTCAAATAACATCACCGCATTGACAAAATGACTGGAATGTGACTCTCATGCCTAGTTAGTTATGTTTGTCTTTTTGTTACCTCTGCCCTTTGAAATCGATGGCATTAAAAATGCCATTCTTAGGGGTTTGGGGATATATTTTTTTCTGGCCTAGCTCAAAGAGCAAATGACAATAATACTCTTTTTAGAATAATTGTTACAATCGCATAGCATTTGTAAGCACTTTATATTTTGCAGAAGTTATTTCAAGTAATTTATTAGTTATAACTCACATGAAAAGCCTGAGAGAGATCAGTATGATGATGTCCATTGGAGATTTGAGGAAGCCAAATCACTGAAGGATTCCATCACTTTTGGACCATGTGGGATGTTTGTAATAAGAGTAGGGCCAGAAATCAGGTTTCCTAGATGTTGGTTCTAAAAGTTCTAAAGGAAAGGAAAAAAAAAAACCTAACAGAAGAAGCCCCACACTCCACCCTGTTTTCCTCCATTAATCTCCATCCTAAGACTTTTTTTTAAATAAATGCAGCATTTTGCACTCAAATGACTGGTGTTTAGCCCCAAGTAAGAGCCTGTTAGTACATCCATTGATGTATCCTCATATTTTCCACAGTGAGGCAGAGAGAGGAAATTTCCTTAGTTTGAAGGACACAGTCCTCATCTGTCTTCAAAATAGGTTCAAATTCCAACATGGTATAGAGCAGCTACTAAGTCTTTTGAACTTAAATGACCCTTCCTCCTTTACCAACATCAGTTCATTCCATGTGTATGTGTGTGTATAGTCTCACACACACACACACACACACACACACACACAGATTCTATTTTCTCTTAACTTGGCAGGAAGTGGAGACAAGTCATAATAAATGATATCCTTTGACCCATCACAGCCAATGTAATTATTAGATGGTCTCCTAAGCAGGGCAATTAAAATGTTGTCATATTTAAAACATGTCTAACAATGGATACATGCCAGTGTTTGTGTTTTTAATGTACTAATAGGCAGGGCATGTAAAACATAAACATTGACATGCAGCCACTGGTAGATGAGCCATCTGGTCTATGTATGATCCATGGGATTGGCATTTGGTAGCTGGTGGGGGAGGGGGAGGGAAGGGGGTTATTATACCATCCTCAATTTTAAATGCCCAGAAATGATCTATACAAGCCAAGTAGAACCTTCCTCTCTATTGGCTCAATTTTCCTTCCTAAAAAGAATGCAGGCATTTACATTTATGATAGAGGATTTATGCTGGGATATAATCTACCCTCTAGAGCTACAAAGAGGTTAATGGCCTAGAGCTTCCCCAAGATAGATTAACTGCTATTGAACTGATCGTTTAATATGAATGCAATTCAGTGAATTAGAAAAGAAATCATTTCATAAAAGTTGATTGAGTTATCTTTCAATTTGAAATGCAGTGAAATTTCATTTATAGCCTATCAGTCCCCCACTTAACATTTTCTCATAAAGAAATTCTCTATTTTTTGAATGCCATATAGCTCATAATTCAGTGTGGCATTCTTTGTAGAGAAGAAGCAGCCTGGTAGAGTGGATAGTAAGATGAGGAAGACCTGGGTTCACATCCTGTCTCTGACACTTCTCAAGACTGTGTGACCACGGGGAAGTCATTTAACTTTGCAGTGCCATAGGCAACTTTGGCCAGAAGTTCAAATTGAGTTGGCCATTTTTATTGATGGAGATAGTTTCCATAGCAGACGCTGCTTACCAGTGGACTCACAGATCTGGACTAAATACACATTCTCATTCTCTCTCTCTCTCTCTCTCTCTCTCTCTCTCTCTCTCTCTCTCTCTCTCTCTCTCTCTCTCTCTCTCTCTCTCTTTCTCTTTCTCTCATACACACACACACACACACACACACACACACACACACACACACACTTCTAAAGCCTGAGGTCTCTGTAAGAGATTTTCAAATTATTAAAACAAAGTTTCCTTGTATTTTCAGTAGAGAAACTGGTGGATCATAATCACCTCTTCCTTTACCTTACTAAGTTCAGTTACATTTTAAATTTGAAAGAGTCTGACAGCATTTATTGTTAAAATCCAGCTATTGAGACTTTTCAAAAATTCCCTGTCAAAGAAAATTTACAATATGAAAGTATAATGTGTTATGAGCAAGACAGTTCAACATTTGTCCTCTTAGGCTTTGACAAAATATTTGTACATCAGGATGGTAGTTTACCATTCATGACACAGTGATCTTTGGTTTTCTATAATGTGGGTGCCATGCTTATAATGATACAGGATGGACACTAGGCAACTGTAGGGGTCGGGGAGTAGGTCTGTCCTTTACTGAAGAATTCAGGTACATTCAAGATTTCTTATTTTATGGGGAAATTGTTTTATTGGTCATTGTTATTTGTTGGCAAAATAAAAGTGCCTTAAGTTAAAGTTTGTTTTGAAATCCATTTGGTCATTGAAGAAATCAGTAGGAGTTCATCATGCAAGATTTTTTTCCAAGTTTTTTTTTGCATGTCCATTGTAAATTTAATACTGTAAATGTATTTAAAATCATTTACATGCCTATGGCTGCCTTTGATTAAACTTCTTCCCAAAATAGACCCTGTCCAGATGTAGACTCTGTTAACAGCTGTTCAAATGGTTACTTACTCATGTCAGATCACTTGAACATAAGTTGTTGCATAATCGCTCCCAAGCTGATTCTTTGCTATGCATGTGTAGGTCCCTGCATCTGAAGTTTTGAGGTTCTGAAGAATGAGTGTGCCTTGTGGGTGAAGGAGTTCACTTCTGCTTGCCCTGACATTGCTTGCTGCAGAAAGTACTGAGTGGTCAGGCATTTCCCATGTGACTTCTGGTTTGGGTATCCCCAGAGCCACACAGTGGAGTTGAATGGCTTCTCCAGTCAACGTGCGTACGTTCCTTGGGGGCCGATTGATAATGCGGGGCGGGTACGCAACAATCATGACTGGAATGGTGATCACTGCTTCACCCATGCTGTTCTGCGCTTTACATGCGTAGCTTCCTCTGTCGTGAGGAGTGGCCTTGCTGATGACTAGTGTGCCGTTTTCATGTAGTGTGTATTTTCCATTAATCTGAGGCCTGTCTATCACATGACCACTGGGCACTGTCCAGATGATGTTTGGTTTAGGGCTTCCATCAGACATACAATGAAGGGATACAGACTCCCCAGTGATGCTCTTTATCATTCCCCGCACATATGTAAGAATAACTGGTTTCTGGCCAATTTCCAAAATAATTAGTTTTTCAATGTAGCCAACTTTATTTCTTGCAGCACAACGATATTTCCCTGCATCATCCCTAGTTGGCTTAATAATAATCAGGGAGCCGTTTCTTCCTAGTTGATACCAGGAATTTGAGCTTCCACTAGAAAATCGCGTTCCATTAGGTAAAAGCCAAATGA